AAAATAAAAAAAAAGAATAAACAGAAAATATCCTAAAATAAATAAATAAATAAGTAAGTAAATGGAAAAAAATATCCCAGGTGAGGAGAAATAAAAAAGGATTTCCATTTGAGCAAAGGGATCCTGGCACAAACAAGTTGGGGACCACTGGTCTGGTTAGCCTGTAAGGACTCCCAAAGCACAAAAAAGATTTCAGAGAAAGGGGACAGCAATGGCTGGAGAATGTCCTATAGGTTTAAGCAGAAACCCATGCCATGGTTTGCTGAAATAGAGCATTACCCTGGGTGTGGAGATTTGGGGTACTGTCACTGTTGTGTGTTTACAGTGTAGCTAGGAGAGGGATGGCGGGTTGGAGAACACAGATTTCTGAGTTATAACTGGAAGGCTTTGTATATGTCCTCAAACAGCCTCATCTTCAAGGGGAAGTAGGATGAAGTGGGATTGCCTCTCCTTTTTGGTTTGACTTTAGAAAAAACAGCAACTGCAATTAGCATTTGCAGTGCACTTGCTAGGTGCTGGGTACTGTACTGTGAGCCTCTTTAAACCCTCCCATTCCTAGGAGGTGATGGCACTGTTTGCCTGCTTGTTTTAGAAGTGAGGAAACTGAGGCATAAAAAAATTAAGGAATTTCCTTAAGGGCCTGTAGCTGGTAAGTGGGGAGGAGGGTTTGAGCCAGGTCTCCTTGCTGCAGGCCTGGTGTATCCCTTTGTTCTGGACTCCTCACAGGCATTGCTTGCTGCCATTTGAGCTCCAGTCCACCTATATGGGTGGTAGGTGTGGGAAGGAGGAAGCTGACTGAACACTGTGGTTTGTCTAAAATTTGTCCCCCAACTTTCCCTCTCCTCCGAACCCCAGGGCTACCGGCAGAATGCTCAGTTTTCTGGAACCCTCATGCTCAGGTTAGCAGTGGTCCTTTTGCAAATAGGCAGGGAAGATGCCAGGTGGGCTGCGAGAAGGACAGGGAAAAGACTGTGCTCCTCTGAAAGGAGGCGGAGGTGAGGGAGCAGAGCAGCTGCATTGCCCTGCAGCCCATCACACACTGGCATCCACGAGGAGGGCGGGGAGGCTGCAGCGGTGGCAGGCTGCCAGGACACCCTGTGCCTTCCTCCCTCCCTCCGGAACCCAGGCCTGTGTGAAGGTAAATGTAAATCAGCTCCTCCGAGCATGCTTTCTGCAGAGGGAGGGTCGTCACTCTGTGAGCCTGATTCCCTCCCCTCCTGTCTGCCAGAATGCTGATTTTATTTTTGCATTTTATGAGCTTGAGAGGGGGAATTCATTTCCTTGGTGTAATATGACACTCTGGAGAAAGTCTTGTCTAAATACATTTCGCTCACAAATTCTGCCCTGGACTGTACTGAAATGAAATAGAGATGATTAAAGTTTGATTTATAGGTAAGGTGAATTGGTAGGTTTATGACAAATTATTGCACCCAGGAAGGTGAATGGGAATAAAAGGGCTCTCTCTTTCGGGAGCTGCAAACCTTTGTGAAAAGAAATATTCAGGTTGTATGTACCCTTATCGAAGCCAGGCTATATATTTCAGTATATTCACCCCATTGTGTACCTTCTCTCTCTTACCAGACTGTACATCCCCTGAGGCAGGAACTGGGTTCATTGCATCTTGATATTCCCCACATGGGGATGTTTTTGCAATTTTATTTATAAGAAAGGGATTCTACACGAAGGAGACTTTTAAATCTCAATGGACTAAGCCATCCTTTTCCTCCCCATCTCAACCCAGTCATTAGAGATATTAAGACCTCCTAACAATGACCCCTCCAACCTCCCAACCCTAAAAGAACAGGGTCCAGAATTATGTTTCTTTCTGGTTATAAGTCATGTAATAAGAATATTAATAACCAGAGGCCTGTTGCACAAAAAGATTCATGCAATAGGCCTTCCCTTTTCTGGCTGCCGGCACCAGTTTTCCTCCGGCACCCAGGACCCAGGACTTCGCTCCGGCCGGAGCCACCTTCAGTCTTTGCTTTGTGCATACGTAGGCAAATTAACCACCATCTTTGTTGGTGGTTAATTTGCATATCTCACTGATTAGCCAATGGGAGGCGTAGCGAAGGTATGGTCAATTACCATGTTTGTCTGTTATTAGATAGGATAAGCTTTGATTGAGCGCTTAGTATGGATCAGGCATTTGTATATTTTTAAGCACTTTCTAAGTGTTATTCCATTTAATCCTCACACGTACCCTATGAGATAGGTACTGCTATCATACCATCTTACAGATGGGAAAACTGAGGCTTGAGGTGCTTAAGTAACTTACTCAAGATCACAGAACTAACATTTGAAACAGCTACTATTTATTGGGTGCTTGCTTGTAGGCCAGGCACTGTACCAGTCACATTAAACCAACGATTTCATTTCATAATGTCCATAATCCTCAAAAAATGGCCTCCATTGCTTAGAATTTCAAGCATTTAGTTTGAAGACTGAAAACCATATGAGGGCAAGGGCTTGTTCCCCCCTCTATCCAGAAGGATGAGGATGGAGCTAGGGATAGAGCAGTAAATTAAAAAAAATAATGTTTGTTGAGGGAATGAAGGCACAGCAGAGGTGACTTTCCCATAGAAGCTGCTTGCCTAGACCCCTTTTCCCACCAGGTGAGTCCTGCTGATGCTCAGGCTGCCCTTGGAGCAGGCTTCCTGGCCCTGGTTCTTCTCTGCTAGGGCATCAGGCTATCTCCAGGACCCCACCTGGCATCATGGGGGATGCAGGGCTTCCCCAGAGTCCTGATGCTGATTTCTTCCTGGGATGGGCTCCTTTTTTTGCCTTGGTCAGCAGCCTCTCATAGATGGGGATCTGGTTGTGTAGGATAATGTCTTTATTTAATTTTTGGCTTATTCATTCTCTATCTTAAAAACAATCATGGGGAGAGTTATTGTTTAATGGGTTCAGAGTTTGTTTGGGAAGAAAAGTTCTGGAGAGGGATGGTGGTGATAGTTGCACAATAATGTGAATATAGTTAATGCCACTGAATTTGACACCTCAGTCTGGTTAAAATGGCAAATTTTGTTATGTGTATTACCACAATTAAGAAAACCCTGCAAATATGGGCTTGTCTTTCTAACATAGCAAGAAGTTTGGGGTAGGTAGTTACAGGGGTTGGTGTAGCTCCTTGATGATGTCACTAGAGTCCCTGAGTCTTTCTGTCTTTACAGTCTTAGCGTGGTGGTTTTCATCCTGGTCACCAGATATCCTCTGAGTCTTAAATGTTATCTGCTCAAGAGAGAAAGAGGAGGGAAAGGGCCATGCTAGTCATGGCTCTGTCTTTTGTCTAGAAAGCCCCCATTACATCTCAATGGGCAGAACTGGGTCTTGTGGCCTTGTTGGGCAGCAAGGGTGCTGGAAAAGTGACCACTTAGCTTCCCAACCTTAGAGCTGAGGAGGGCTCTTGCCTCAGGGAAGAAGGACGTTGGGAGTGAGAACTGATTGGACCACCAGTAGGCTGTGTCCAGGGCACTGCCAAAGGGTCACATGGTCACATAGCAGGGCTGACCAGGCCCATGGCCCAGTCTCCTGGTTTCCAGTCCTGAGCTCTTTTGTTAGGACATTTGATATATTTTGTAGATTCCCAATAAAAAGGACCATCTTGGAGAATATCTTTCAAAGAAACAATCAAAATACTAAGAGGTTGTGTCAGGAAAGCACTGGGCATGTTGGGAGCCAGAACACCTGAGCTCTGCCCCAGGCTGGCTGGGAGTTTTGGGGAAAGTCCCCAGGTCACTGTGCTCATGAAATGTGATTCATTATTGTTTTTCTTGGTTAAAGTGTTCATTAAATCCCCAATAATTCCTTGATATCTCTAGGTGAAAGACCCAGTAGGAGACAGACAATGATTAACCAATCACATGCTATCAAGTGTGAGCTTACACAACATGATGTGTTTCAAATGTTGGATTAGGATGACAGAAACTTCCTACTATTCCTCTAGGCCAGGAGCAGAGTATAATAATGGTTTTAGGGGACACTTAAAATAAGGAATGTGAACAGACATCTCTGTTATAGTTACCTTGCCATTGCAAGGAAGCCCGGATGTGCACTCCTGGCTTTTGAAGACGCAGAGAATGGATTCCATTCTTTCTAATCCAGCACTTACTTTTTCCATGGGAGGCACCAGAGGGGAATGAGCAGGCCCTGCCCATTGAGCCCAAAGTGGGCACCTCCTCTTCTCTGTGGAGCCTTCTTGGGTGACTCTGGGTCACACTGATCCTTCTCCTTTGTTCTCACCTCAGGACACCACATATACAAAACATTTTTAGCATTTACTGGTATTAAAGATAACTTTTCATCCCTGTCTTATAAACTGTGCCAGGGGTGGGCACTGTTTGGGGAGGTAGCCTGAGGTTTTTGAAACTCCTCAACCCCAGGGGTGAGCACATGTCTAGACACATGGCAAACCCTCTGTAAACAGGAGCTGGACCTATGGGGTGGAATGCTCATAGCTTTACCAGGTTGGAGTTTTATTTCCTGATGCTTGGGAAATGAGGAGAGTTGATTCCAGGACAGGAGATGGAAGAAGCCAGAGCATCTAGCCCCCAAAGAGGTCATGGCACAGTTCAGTGTCCTTGCATTGTCCCTCACAGTCAGATGACAGGGACAGTCCCTGAGCTCAGCAAGACACTGACTGGGAATCCTATAAAGGGAAAGGACAACTCTGCAAAACTGGAAGTGAAGCTGCTGGAAGGAGGGGCCATTCTCCAATGGTAGGGGGAAAAAATTGCAGCCCTGGTAAATGTTGGAACAGGATACCCAAGGCAGCTGAGCAAGCCCAAAATAATATTGTAAAGAAAAGTTACATTTTTATTCACAGTTGGAATATAAAAATAAATAAGTAAACAGAAAACAAATGGACTCACTTTACAGAAAGCACATTCATTACTTAAAAGTAGCACCTTAATGGTTCGGCACTCTGTTCACATCCGTGTGTCAGGGTCACTCATGTTGACCATTGAGCGGTTCTTGATCGTTTCTTTGCATCTGTCTGCTTTTCTTACATGGCTACTGAGGAGCAACTGGCAATTCTGACACTTTTATGGCCTTATCTATAACCACACTTATTCTTCCTCTTCAATCATAAGATCTTTTTACTTTTCAGACACTTGTGATGTCTGTGTCACTCTCCTATACCTTACTGATAGATGGGTGGGGATTGCCACAGAGGCGGAATGAAGCTCAGTTTCTTTTCTTTTTTGAATTTTAGCCCTTTCTAAATTCAGGCATCCAAAGATTTAACTTGCTTAGGTGGCCGTGAATTGTAACTCTTCCTGGACATGAGAACTAACATCTTCCCAGGACCTTCTCAAGTGGCTTCTCGTCTCCAAGTCTCCATTTAATTATCCATCCATCATCAGAACTCTGCATTCTTACTGGCTGCTATAACACGGAGGCACTTGCAGACTCGATGGAAAAGTTGTCAGTATAAATGACACATAAATTCACATTTTACATAATAGGACCCGTTCCTTATGGATCAGGTCATGAGAGTGTGAAACATATAAATCTTGGCACAAAAATGTTAAATACCATAATAAATTAATAAATACATAAATTACTTAAATATCTAAATAGCAGTTGCAGCCTGCTAGCTAGCAACTCTATAAATAAATTACCGGATTGTTTCATTGGGCAGTTAGCATTGCAATAAAATAAATACAACAAAACACTTAAAAAAACACAAATTAGGTAGAAAATATCTTTTTGGGTCTAGTGCACCGTGCCTCTTAAAAGCTTTGCACGGCTTCCTTTTTTCCTCCAAGGTTTCATCCTGGGAGTAGAACCTGAAAAAGAATGCCCAAAGTCGATGAGGAATAAGAAGGCAGCAGCAGACCTTTCATATTTCATAAATCACATTATCTGGGCAATTAGGTTGTGGGGTTCCATGTCAGAAGGGTCCAACCCTTCCTTCTGTGGCCTGGGATTTGGCTGGTATCTTGCTCACGAGAGACTCTCTTCAAAGTTTTCTTAAAAGGGTATCTGATCATGCCATTTCCTTGCTAAAAGCCCTCCACTGGTCCCCCAGGTTCTCCTTTGGATGAGGTTCTAATTCCTGGATACAGCTTGCAACCATCCTACTCTGACTCTTAGCTGCCTCTCTTTCTTCTTTGCCTTTCCCTCCAGAAGGGCAGGACCTATGCCTGTTCTGTTTACTGCAGTATCCCGGAGCCTAGCATAGTGCCTGGAACAACATGAACATCAAATAAACATCTGTTAATGAGCAACTGTATGTTTTTGACTCTGGTGACATTGCTGGGGATCCTCTATTTCCTCTCCTGAATCTCCCCTCCCCAGTTCCCTGAACCTGGTACACTGAGTGTGCAGGTCTGGGCTAGGTTTGCTCACCTAACTGCAGGAGACAGATGCCCACTCGCTCCAGGATGAGCTATAGTAGCGGTCTCGGGCTTGCACACGGATCAAGGCATCCTTGTGGCACGTGACCTTGGCTGAGGTCTTGTCTTCCAAGAGTCTATCTTTCTGCAAAAGAGAGGAAAACCTTTGGTAATACAGTCACAAGATAGGCTGGGCATATTTCTCAAAGCAAGCAGACCTTGGTTGTAGGGTAATTCACAGAGGAGTGTGTAGTACTTGCGCCACCTACTGACAGAAGTTCTAAACACAGATGCAGTTTTTCTACTTCGCAAGTCCTGAGGATGAAAATGGTCCAGCTTTCCCCTTTCTAGCACAGCTGCTTTGTTTGAAGGCCCATGTGCACTCACCCCAGTACAGGGCCGATGTTGGGACTGGGACAGATTTGCTCTAATTGTCCTGTGGATATTCAGAAATACCATACTCTCGATCCTTTCATCAGACAAACTTGTGGTTCGAAGTCAGACGTTGCTATTGTTAGCTGTGTGACCACTGAAAAATGTCTTAGGCTCTCTGTGTCTCAGTTTCCTCACTTACAAAAGGGGGATAGTAAAAATGCCTATCTCACAGAGCTGTAAAAGTTAAAAGGTAATAATTGTGTAAAACTCTTAGCAAAATCCTAACCATATAGAAAGCACTCAGTAAATCTTGCCCATTAATGATACAGATCTTAAGTAGGGAAGATACATGTGAAGATTTTAAATAACATTTATTGAAATTGACTCCAGAATAGCCCTTTGCCCTGCAAAAAAAATTCTTAGGGAGCAACTGAATCACTGAGTTTCTATCAGATGCTAAATGCTATGCTGAATAAGGCCTTTATCTGGTGATGTTACTAGTAAAACGGATCCAAGGAGGCTAAAGCTCTATAAAAGTGCCTCTAGGATCCTGGGGTTATTGATGCCAAGGCAAGAAAATTGGAAAGCCATCATTTAGCCTGTGTACATACTGACATTCTGTTTAATAAAATAATTTCACAATATGTAGAACAGCCAAGAGTTAGACATTTTGGGTGAGACATAGCATGAATGTGATATCATCCATTATATTCACTGAGTTGAAATAGTATTTCGGTTCCCAGAGTCCAGCTCTCCTATATCAGGATCAATTGAGTGCAAGAATTAATGGTTAACCATATAGAAAGTGTATGGCTTTGGTGTCCAGCAGTCTGAGTTTGTGTCCTGGTTCTGTCACTTCCTAACTGGGTGACGTTGGACAAGTCACTTAACCTTTCTGAGCTTTAGTGTTGTCACTAGTGAAGTGGTGATAATACTACTGCCCGTCTTTGTAGAGTTACTGTGATGATTAAGTGAGATAAACGTGTACCCAAAAAGGCACAGAAAAAGTGCTGAATAAACATTAGCTGCTGTCATCATCATTCATCCCCTTCCTGTTGTGGGCCTGCATAAAACTGATCACAGCATGTCTGGCACCGGAATCACATCTTACCCTTTCTCTCTTGTTCTTGCCCTGGATCTGAAGAGAAAATGTCAAGGAGAAGTAGGAATGTGGGGTGCTCCAAGTGTCGGGGTACTCCCAGCTGACCTCCACATGTCGGGAATCCTTTAACGGCTTCAGTTTCAGATTCTTGGGTGGGTCTGGTTTGACTGTGGAAGAAGATACACACCTTTTATTTCCCTGGTGGGGCTTTCGAGCAAGGTAGTTCTGGCTTCTGATCCCACTTTCACCTTTGACCAGTTGTGAGTCCATAGCGTAGTTACTTAACTTCTCTGAGCACTTGGTTGGCAGACGTGACACTCCCTTACTCCTGGTACTCACTCTGGTGCCTGTGGAAGGCAGCCACATCCTTTATGGCTGACCCTGAGAGAGGCTCAGAATCCTTGTTACCATGGACAATCAGATGGGCTTTGGTAGGGGAACCACTTCTGCGTAGTGCTCAGAAGAAAGTTAGAGACAATAAGACTCTCTTGTCTGGGGTATCAGTGAAGGACCACCCTCTCTGAGGTCAAGCCCTCTCTTTGCACCCAACTCAGAACTGAGCTGAGTCTCTTGCTGGGGATGAGGTAAGAGATTTCCCACTTAGTGTCTTTTATCTTTTCATGGCATCTGGCACTGATTTGTCCTATAGCAGTTACAATCACATTATCTCTATGCTCATTTGTTCATTCATCCAATCTTTCTATAAATAATAACTGAGCAACCATTGTGTCCCAGCCACTGGGCTACACATGGGAAGTACAGCAGTGAGTGTCCCAAAGACTGTCCCCAAGTAGTGTACCTTCTTCTCATGAGGTGAGGAAGACATTCTATGGAATGTGCTTGGGCTCCTAGACCCAGCACCACTCCACAGACCACAGCTCCTAGCAGATGCTTCACAAATATTCCTCCCTCTGTTCTTAACACACTGACATCTCCCTTCCTTTAGGACTCAGCTAAATGTTACCTCCTCAGTGAGACCTTCCCTGGTCAACCTCTGTGAACTAGATCCCACCTTCCCCCAACCGGCCAAGGTCAGTCTCTCTACCAATGCTACTGTACGTTCTGTGGTTCTCTCACACTTTCTCAATGGAGAAATGGTAAAGGAAATGAAAAATCTCCATCTGCCAATTTAAAAAACTGATGTACATTTTGGAGCAGTTTTTATTTCAATAAAGAAGTCTCTTTTAAGATTCTAGAGAAAGGTGGGTGGGGAATAATTGCAGCTGGTAGAAAAGTGCTGGTTCTGAATAGGACTATCATGCCAAAGGGGCTGCTCTTGGATTCCTCATGGAAGCTCCCTGGGAGCAGAACAGAAGTTTAGCCAAGAGCCTGCTTTTACTTTTTTTTTCCAAATATGTTTTTACTGATTGTTAGGAAGAAGGGAAGAGAGAGAGAGAGAGAGAATTGAGAGAGGAGAGAGAGAAAGGGAGGGAGGGAGGGAGGAAGGGAGAGAGAAAACAAAAAGAAAAAGAAAAAAACAAAAAACCCATCAATGAGAAAGAACCATCAATTGGCTGCTCCTGCACACCCCCTATAGGGATTGAGTCTGGCATGTGCCCTCAACCAAATGAGCCAGGGTGAGCCTGCTTTTTCTAGTGGGGCAGATGTGGGTCTGAATTGCTAGCTGTGAGATCTAAGACAAGTTGTTTAACTTTTTGAAGACTCATTTTCTCCTTCCTTAAAATGCAGATAGATAGTAGTATCTCATTGTACTTTTTGGGGGGTGTCGAATAAAAGAGATAATGCATGTAAACCCCTTACTCCAGTGAATGAATGGCATCTGTCTCTATTAAGCATATATATTCAAGTACACTCACTGATGTCCCTGATGAAGAAGCTGCTGGTGTAGTTTTCATACTTGTGCCTATGAACAGCATCCAGCACGACCTCAATGGGCAGCCTCTCTTCAGCAGCTGGGCAGGCACTGCCCTCCTCACACTCCACCGTGTACTTCCAATACTCCCTGTGGTCCACTCTGATCTTCTCTGCTGAGCGTGTCACTGCTCCACAGGTCACTCCCCGGGGGTCAGAGGAGCTGAAGTCAAAGACAGACATATCCTGTGTCTCACAGGTGTGGGCGAGTTCCTGTGGTTGTAACTTTCTGAGGTCACAGTTTCTCTAACTGGTTTGATTTATCCCCAGGCAGTGAGGAACTGCCCTCCCATGACAGCAAATGTTTCAGAGGTAGTACAAATGTTCTATTATTATAGTTTTACAGATGAGGAAATGGAGGTTCATGGCCAACATGAATTCAGAAAATTTTAGATCCAGAGCCCCTGGTTACAACTCCTTATTAACATTTTTATTTTATTTTTCCCATTTTAATTATAAAATCAACATGCAATTATAAAATAGTAAAATGATAAAGATGCATATAAAGGAAATGTGGTACCTCTTTTAAACCCAATCCCCCTTTTAACCCTAATATAAATATTATTTATATCTTGTTGTATCCCACCAGAACCTTTTCTGTGAATATTCAAAGCAATTATATAGCCATATGTTTTTATGCATATACACACATTTCATCTATATAAATGCACATAGATTTTATTTTTTTAATTTTTAAAAATATATTTTTATTAATTTCAGAGAGGAAGGAAGAGGGAGAGATAGATAGAAACGTCCACGATGAGAGAGAATCATGGATCGGCTGCCTCCTGCAAGTCCCCCACTGGGGATCGAGCCCACAACCCAGGCATGTGCTTTTGATCGGAATCAAACCTGGGATCTTTCAGTTCACAGGCCGATGCTCTATCCATTGAGCCAAACCAGCTAGGGCTAGATTTTATTTTTTATGAGGATCAAATTATATATATATATATATGGTTTTGTAACCATCTTTTTCATATCTGAACATATGAGGAATGATCCACAACAGACCATATATGTTGGGTTATTTTGATGACTGCACATTAAGCCGAAGACTATAATAAACCACACTTTATTTCACCTTTCCCCTGCTGAAAACATCCCAATGAATATTTGCATCTACGTCTTTGTGCACCTGTGTAAACGTTTCTTTAGTAAGCATTTTCATTTTAAAGATGAAAAGTGAGACCCCAAGGTTCCTCAGGTACATAGTGGCCAGGCCAGGTTGATCAGCTAGGTTTGGCTCCATTCTCCTACATTGTTTGGGAACTTAGATTATGAGTGAAGTCACATGTTGGGCTAACACAGTGCTACATCCTTGGGAATTGGTTTCTTAGGAAAAGTCCAAGTGTATAAGACAAAGAGTGAACTTAAGATGAACAGTGTTAGCAGAAGAAAAAGTTGTTCAGGTTGCCTGGGGAAAATGTCTAGAGGCCTCAGAGTTTTGGAGTCGACTCCAGGGCTTGCAAGGTTTATGCTCTAGAGATCTTGTTTCTATTTTTGATTCAAGGTGCAATTTTGGCAAGTCATCTGTAGCTTTGATTTCTCCTTTTATCCCTCCCCATGGTGCTATGAGCCTCAATGAGGCATCATCAGACCATTTGGATGAGTGAGTTCAAACACAGCAGAGGCTATGCCCAGGCCCAGATAGTATTCTGTTCTAATGCATACATTTGTTCAGGCAATTACCTTAAATATCCATGTTCTTTCCCCAACTTAGGCAAGGGAGGGAGGAGTCATTGAAAAAAATATGGGTTTGACTTGTTTTCTCTCTTATCATTAACTGAAAGGCATTACTAGGTCATTCTTATTTTCTTAATGAAATAGTAGTTCTAGCAAAACACTGAGAAAACAGAGTGGTTTACTTACCCTCTGACACTTTTGACACTGAATTTCACATCATCAGTGATTTCTGTCAGCCACCAGCAGGTGAAACGTCCAGAATAATTCTTTGCTTCACATTTTAGAAAGGTCTTATTTTTGGGTTCTGGATTGAAAAAGAACAAGTATTTAGGTTTTTGTTTTTTGTTGTTTTGTGTGTGTGTGTTTCCCAGAAAGATTTTGTTTGTGCTTAATCACAGGCCACCAAATGGTATAAGAGTAAAAAATCTTCCATTGAATTCATTGGAAAATGATGCTGCTCCCCTGGCAGGCAATTCAGTGAGGACTGGTAGCTGACTCTGCAGAGCATAACAACTTACATATTGAGGGGGTATTCATTATTTTAAGGCTATCACTCCAGTGCTGAGTTATGTACTGTTCATGTTGGTTAATTTCCATTACTCTCTCTATAAAAGCGCCATTGTTTAAAGAGAACCTACGGAAAAGCATCTAGACTAGTGGTTCTCAACCTTCTGGCCCTTTAAATACAGTTCCTCGTGTTGTGACCCAACCATAAAATTATTTTCGTTGCTACTTCATAACTGTAATGTTGCTACTGTTATGAATTGTAATGTAAATATCTGATATGCAGGATGGTCTTAGGCGACCCATGTGAAAGGGTCGTTTGACCGCCAAAGGGGTCGCGATCCACAGGTTGAGAACTGCTGATCTAGACTCACCATGAAACTCTTGCAACATGAAATTACCCAAAGTGTCTAGCAAAGGAAAACCAAAGCAAAGGACAATGCAGGTTCTGAGTTGGTTTCTGTAAGGGACTTGATTGCTGCATTAACTATACTGATCATGTCTTGCCTTTAAAATTTTTAATTTTTGTATTTCTTATGGAGAAAACTGATGCTATCCAAGGGAATGGAATTACCTTTCTGGTCTTTTAAAATATCAGTGGACCAAAATCCATCTTCCTTTTTGTGAAGCAGAAGGAGAGAATGGCGGAGAACCTCGCCTCCCTTGTGACAGGTGTACTGGCCAGCATCTCCAAACTCTTTGACTTGGATGGTCAAGGTTTTGCCAGAGCCTAAGACCTCATTGCTCTGGTCCGAGGTCCACGAGATTCCGTCTTCTTCAGGGGTGTTGCAGGTGAGGACCACCACTTCTCCAGGGGCGTCAGGATACCAGTCTAACTCTACAACATAAACTGGAGAGCACAGAACGTGGAAAACCATACTGTAAGCCACACAGACTTTGGGACTGTGTCTTTTGAACTTCCTGGGCATCTGCACTGCTGAAGTACAACCTAACTTATAGCAGCAAAGGCCTGCTGAGAGGATCTCAGGGTACCGGGCTCCCCTTGGGCTCAAGGTCATGGAAGAGAGAAGCAAAGAGTTGTATAGATGCCATCAACTTGTTAACTGGCAGGCTGCTGTTAGTAATTAACCTCTGATCAGCTGGCAGATGAAGAAGGCCTTGATACACAGAAGAATGCAAACAGCACACGACTCTTTGCTGAAGGACTGGTAGAGATAAACAACTTCCAGCGCAATTTTAGTCTCAGAGGGAATAAGACTGACCAGGACTGAGATCCTACTCCCACTAGCTGGCTGGAGGATTTGGAGGAAGATACTTAATCACTATGACCCTCAGTTTCCTCTTCTGTAAAATGTTAATAATAATAGTACCTACATCATAGATTCATTCGGCTGTGAGGATTAAATGAAAGAAGCCTGCCTCAGTAAACTCAGTGTTAGTTGTTATTGTTAGTCACAGACCAAAGGGTCAGACAACTGCACAGACTGTCTTAAAATTTTCTGTGGGGATTTTGGGACTTAGTTTATACTGCATGAAATTCACCAATGGAAAATTTTATTCTCTTTGTATTTTTTTAAAGCTATTTTACAGTCTTATGAGGCAGTTAAGTAGGTGTTAGTCTTCTCATTTTATAGAGGAGGGTGTTGAGACCAAGAGGCTAAGCAAGGTTACAACAAGTTAGAAATACAAGAGCTATATTTCAGACTGTCTGTCTCCTTGGCTTTGCCTTTGGTCTCTAATACCAGCATCTAAATTGACACTTGAGGAATGGCTTAGGATACAGTATTTCAAAGATGATGTCACAGCAAAGCTTCATTCGGGCATCAGTTATTAATTAAATAGAATCACTTAATGCAGTGGTTCTCAAACCACAATCATGGAACCCCCCATCAGCAGCAGTACCTGGGAATCTGTTAGAAATGCAAATTCTCAGTTGCTGACCAGGGAACTGTGTGATGGGCCCAGTGACCTATTTTTTTTATGCTCTCCAGATGATTTTGATGCCTGCTGTGAGAGTCACAGGGGTAAAGAGCCTGGTTTTTAGAGTCACATTGGCCTGGGTTTAGAGAAAGGGTGATGAATCTTTTTTTCTGCCAAGGGCTATTTAGAAATTATAACATCATTCACAGGCCATACAAAATTATCAACTTAAAAATTAGCCTGCTATATTTGGTCAAACATTGAATTAACTCACTCCTAATGCCTTGGCAGGGTCAGACCAAATGACTTCACAGGCCTTATACAGCCTGCAGGCTGGAAGTTCCCCACCACTGGCTTATAGTCAGTTCCATCTCTTGTACTAGCCTGTGGCCTTAGGCAAGACATTCAGTTACTCTAAGCTCTGGCATCATCATCTTCAAAGTGAGAAATTTAGGAGAGTCTAGTTACCATCTTTCTTCAGTTCCCATATGGCCATAAGGGGCGATGCCAGCAAAACCAGGGAAAAACAGAAGAGGACCAACTGCTGCTGATGCATCTGTAGAAGGGAAAGAGAGAGAGGAGAAGGAGGAGGAAAAGAGAAAGAAGAAGGAAAGAGGAGAGAGAATATCAATCATTATTCAGTTACCTTTGGAAACCATATTCACAATCTATGCATATTGTTTCTAATCTTTATTTTCTTCTTCTCTACATTGTCATGGTAACACTAAATGAATTGTAGGAGCCCTTATGTCAGTTACTGGGCGAGCACATCTCCAAACAGAGAACCATAGATGATCTGAAGCTGAAAGAGATGTAAGACTAGCCTTCTTATACAATCCTCTTTTTTTTTTTAAAATATATTTTATTGATTTTTTACAGAGAGGAAGGGAGAGAGATAGAGAGTTAGAAACATCGATGAGAGAGAAACATCGATCAGCTGCCTCCTGCGCACTCCCCACTGGGGATGTGCCCGCAACCCAGGTACATGCCCTTGACCGGAATCGAACCTGGGACCCTTCAGTCCGCAAGCCGACGCTCTATCCACTGAGCCAAACCGGTTTCAGCTCAATCCTCTTATTTTAAAGACAAGAAACCCAAGGCTCAGATAAAGAACATGATTTGTCCAGATCAACATTCAGTGATTTTATTTTTTACTTGGTGCTTACTGTGTAAAGGGCACTGAGCTAGAGCAGTTGGAGAGAAAAAAAGTTTTTACCTGGATCCTGCCTTTTAGGAGCAAATGCTTTCATTCAACAAATATTTATTAAGTCAGTTGGAGAGACAAGCTACGTGTGTGTGTCATTGAAGCACAAGGCAGTATCTGCAGTGACAGCCAAGGCTAAAGGGCTTAGGTTGGGGAGGAAAAGGTAACATAGAGACAATCTTTCAAATTCTGGCAATGACCTGGTCACCAGCCCTTGTTGTAGGGATTTAGTTTCTCTTTTAGTTTAGACCAGGGGTGGGCAAACTTTTTGAGTCGAGGGCCACAATGGGTTCTTAAACTGGACTCAGAAGAAGGAGCTGCGGTCGTGTTTCCCGACGTTGTCATGTTAACACTGCTGCTGGTGAAGGAGCGGAGGGGAGAGCAAGAGAACCCTCCGCTCTTTTGGCTCTGCGGGCCGGATAGAACAGCCGAACGGGCCGGATCCGGCCCGCGGGCCGTAGTTTGCCCACGGCTGATTTAGACTGTAATTGCTCCAAACTCAAAGATGACTCCCTCCCACATGATGTAGTCCAGTGGTTCTCAAAATAACCCAGAAGCCTTGTTAAACCAATGATTTCTGAGTTCTACCCCCAGACTGTCTGATTCAGCAGTTCTGGGGGCGTGGCCCGAGAACCTGCATTCCTAAAGGAGTTTCCAGGCGAGGCTAATGTTGCTGGTCCAGGGACCACATGTGAGAACCACTGCTTTAACCCATTTTCAGGTTCCAAAGCCCCTGAAAATCAAGCTGTTCTTTGGGAGAAGACCGTGACATAGAGACATATCTGCCATGAAATAACGACATGCGTCATTTGATGCTAAATCAGGCACCACCTTATATTGAAACCCAGTCTAGATTAGTATCCAGGATTTATGAAAATCTTCAGACTGTGAAAATTACACCCCCTCTGTAAATTAGGTAGGGATGATTATAATTTAATTTTAGTCTGAAACACCTCCATCCATCTCGGCGAGCACCCGTGTTTTGCAGCAGCATTGTTTCAGAAACGACTGTTTAAATTATATGAAGAACAAGACTCAAAATTTCCAGCAAAATACTTTAAAAAGGAGCATCCCTTGATTGATGTGACTGAATACTGACAAATCATAGCTGTGTCAGAACTGCTGCTGATCCTGGGGAACCCTGCCATTCACTTTACTTCCTTAGATTATAGAAGCTTTGATGACCAAGACAGGACTAGAAGGCAGGGCTTCCTGTACACTGCCAGTGTTCTCGTCAGGGCAGCATAGGGCTTACAGGGGCACGTCTGTCAGTTCAGGAAGCTTTGACTGTAGCAAAGTACTACTTGCCACAGAGCATCAGTTAGTACATTTGTAGGCTTGGAGTCAAGCAGCTATGGGTTTCAGTTCTAGTTCCCCCACTCACTAGTTGCGTGATGCTGGCCAAATTACTCTCTGCATCTCAGTCTCCTCATCTATAAAATGGACACAATACCCATCTCCAAGGAATGTTGGGGAGAATGCAATAAGATGACATATTACAGAAGACAGCCAATAAGAGGTTAGGAGAAGGAAGAGGTAAAGGAAAAAGTTGACATCTCACTTTTCCATACATAATGGATAGACTGAGAGTTGTGTCTGGCTCTAGGGAAATGCCATAGAGGTATTACAAGTACACAGACCTGTAAAACCCAGATGTCAGCACTCTGGGGAGGGAAACGACAGAGATTCCTGGCACCTCCTGGAATACTCTCTTGAAGCTGGGGTTTTCCCTTCTGCTTTGTGCCCAGCACTTCCTCTCTGGACCTCAGATGCATTTGAGAATTTCAGGTGGTGAATTGTACTTTAGGATTAAGGGAGAGCTGGTGATGGTTCTAAGACACAACTTTCATTTTAAATCTTAGAACACTGGCAGGGGTTGGGACCTAGGGGAAACCCAAAAGGGGGCAACAGATAGTTATCCAGTGGGTCTCTAAACCAGCTGATAGCAGGGGCTGCATCCCACAGCCCACACTTCTTGGCATGCTAAGTTTGAGAGTCTCAAGGATCAAAACATTTCTTTACATGTAATTTCATAGGTTTTACAAACTGTTGAAATCAAAAATGAAGGATGCAGGGAGTCTAGAGGCATCACGCAACTAGTGAGTGGGGGAACTATAACTGAAACCCATAGCTGCTTGACTCCAAGTATGTTAAGGCTCCCTAATGCTTGTACCAATGTGGGCATGATAACGGCACTTTTTCAAGTTTTACTTTGTTACATTTTAATTAGAAGAGAGAATTATTAAAAAAATAAAAAGATATAGTCACACAAGGCACGGGTAGCACTCGCAAAGGGCCCCAGTTCTAGAGCCAGGCAGGACCTGCACTGGCATTCCAGCTCTGCCACTCACTAGTTGTGTGATTCTGGGAAAGCTGCTTGTTAAGTCACACTCTTTTTTTCAAAATATATTTTATTGATTTTTTTACAGAGAGGAAGGGAGAGGGATAGAGAGTTAGAAACATCGATGAGAGAGAAACATCGATCAGCTGCCTCCTGCACACCCCCTACTGGGGATGTGCCCGCAACCAAGGTACATGCCCTTTACCGGAATCGAACCTGGGACCCTTCAGTCTGCAGACCAACGCTCTATCCACTGAGCCAAACTAGTTAGGGCGAGTCTCACACTCTTAAATCTGTAAAATGGGTGTCCTATTGTGGTGAGGAGTTAATGAAATAATTCATGTAAAGTGTCCAGCATAGTGCCCAGATGAGGTCTGGGTTCCCGATTATTTGTTCTCACAGAGCCCCCATTCCTTGTTTCATAGCACTTCTTACAATAATAGAGTTACTTAGTTAATGTATAATTACTTCCCTGCCACTCTGAGTTCTCTGATGGCAGGGACCATGTCTCTTCTATTCTATACTATATCCCAGACTTCAGTATGTAGGGATTTCATTAACTATTAGAAAAATGAGTGAATGCACAGAAATCACAAAATTTCAAATCCCAGTAAAATGAACTCTAAGAGGCAGCTTTCTAACATCTTGAAATTCCTTATTTGAAAAAAGTGTACCATCAGCTGGGGTTTGGCAATCTCTTCGCTAAAATGTAATTTTAACCTGATCATTACTTATTTTTTCTGATCATTACTTCTTTAACCTGAAAATTATTGCACACAATTTACGTGGGCAAGTATAAGATACCAGTGCAGTAAAGATTATCCTTTTTTTCCCTTCTTACAGATTTTTAAATTCTTCAGAAAGTAGTTTTAAGCATAGTAGTTGCTTTTTATTTTTTAAGTGAGCCCAAGTTAGTTAATCTAAAAAAACTGGACCTCAGCTATCAATCTGATTGACTGTCACAACTGACTAGTAAGCCCTTCACAAATATGGGAGCAAGTATGTGCTGTAACATTCAATTATGAGGTAAGAATATGAAATAAATTATTTATTAAATTCATTATTACTTAACGAATGGAAGGCTTTAAAAATGTTTACCATACTAAAGCGATACTCACTTTAACTCTATACAACCTTTAATGGATGGGCATTAAATGCTGAGGGACACACTGTTATATACATAGCACTTTTAAACAAGATAAAACAGACCTTTCTATAAAACATGGATTTGTTCACAGACCTTGGTAGACAATTATTATTAGTTTACTCTCTAAATTAATACTTTATGCATAAGCCCCCAAAGTGTTCCAGTAGACGAGTCACCAGGAATGCTCCCAAGAACCCACCCTATCCATGATGTCAGGTTCAGGGGTAGCACAGGCATGGTGGGGGCCATGGCAGGGACTAGGGAAGTGCTTACCTTGCTTCTCGCTGAGCCTCAGAGTTCGCTGGATCTGAAACCGTTGTTTCTTCTGCTGCTGCTGTTGTGACTGCAGCTTATATACCCTGCTCCTACTAAGCTTTCTAATGGAAACTTAAACTAGAAACTGACTTGTTCCAAGTTGCAACACTGAAAACAACTCTCAAAACCTTCTGGGGGAATTTCAAGAAGTTCCTTTTTTTTTTTTTTTTTCCCCCTGTGTGTATTAATAACACAGAGGGAACATAACATCAAAATCCCAGGTAATGAACTAAGAGGAAATGACTTTTTGGGTGGGGAAAAAGGAAGGAGAAGGGATGCTGTCTTCTTTGGGTTGACATCATGGCCAGCGTGCTTAGAGACAGCAGTAGGCAGCTTCCCTGGACTCCACAGATTTGAGAAGAAGGAAGGACAAGGATTGGACATGAAGAAGGATGAGGTCACTCAGGAAACTGAGTTCAAATTAGAATGATGCAATTGTATTCTAGAGGGCCCCAGAGCAAAATCTGTGGTTCTCTTGAAGTCAGAGTTGAGATGAAAGGTAAAGGGTTGAGTATATTTGGGGCACCCTCCCTACACTATTCCTTTAAC